ACAATTTATTCAGTGAAATATCTCACAAGAACAAAACAATTTATTCAGTGAAATACCTCACAAGAACAAAACAATTCATTTATTTTAGTTCAACTGTCACCTCCCCAGAATATTATCCAGATACATTAGTTTTAAAATGTGCATGCAACTGCCGCACCAAACAGAACAGACAATTTTATTAATGCATTATGCAAACATAAATCATAAAATATTGAAAAACTTTAAAAATGCTTTTGCTAATTTTAAATTTCGCCAACCATACTTAATCGCAAAACCAAACTTATTCTGTGTTTCTTCTTAAAAGGGCAGCTGACACATTGTTTTGTGGTTTAAAGCTAATCTGCAATATCTGCATCTTTTGGACCAACATAGATTTCTGCAAAACCCTCAGTGAGTCGCCTTCTATGACATGTTTGTTATGGGTTTGTAAATAAATCTATTCTTTTGCCCCAAAGTGAAGTCCAAGGAAAAACCAAATAGGATTTCCGCATAAAGTGTCAACACAAAGAACCATACTAGTTCAAACAAATAAAATATATTATGCAGGCTAAAAATGCTGTGTAAACAAAACATTTATAAATTACTTTTAAAAAATATATATATATTGTATGTGTCTTCTTTGCATTCAGACTGATATAAAAAAGGTGAGTTCACTCTTTCAGCCTCAAGTAGGTGTTACTTCTAACTCCCCCATCTTCAATGAGTTGAGCTTATGCAATCCATACTTTAGTATGAAGAAATTCAAACAGACACTAGAGGAGATCCCCGTGTGGGTTCCGGGGCCCCAATGTAGGGAAAACAAGAATAGACCCACTACCTCCCCAACAAGCATGTAGTAAGAGTCGACTAATTTGGGGTTTCTTTCGAAGTCGGAGTGCATCTGCCTGAGAGGCAAGGAACCAACAGTCTGCACACAGATCTATAAAATGGATGTGCATGCAGAACTCAGGTTCTGGAACAGGTCTAAAGTCCAAATGGTAGATGAACAATCGGAACTTTCTGCCAGAGTTTACAGCTGGTGAAAGTGAAGACGAAGAAAAAGACTATAGGAGAGAACCAGATAAAAAAGGCTAACATAATGTCTGCCTGTGACAGAAAACAGCAAGAATCGATGAAATTTTATGAATTTTCTTCTTCTTTGATCACCAGCAGTAAGCTCCAGCAAAAAGTCCTGGTTCTTCATCCATTTGGACTTTTGCTTTGTGCCAGGGACCAAGTTCTTCCATGTACATCCTTTGTACTGGCTTATTTGTCTGCCGTTGGTTGTTTCCTGTCGCTCAGGCAGATGCCCTCCGACTTTGCAGGAAGCCCCCAATTAGTCAACTCCTATGAAAAGCTTGTTGGGGAGGCAGTGGGTTAATTCTTGTTGTCCCTATAATGGTACAAGGAACGTATGTCAGTCTGGTAGAGCCACAGCTGGACGAGGCCCAATGCGGCTTCAGAGCAAACCGAAGTACTCAAGACCTTATCTTCACAGTGAGACTGATGAGTGAAAAAGCCCTGGAATGAAAGAGTGAAATGCACCTATGTTTTTTGGATCTGGAAAAGGCATTTGACAAGGTACCCTGGAACAAGCTCTGGGACTGCTTGGCAGGAAAAAACATCCCAGCACCCCTGATCAGTGCAATACAGAGTTTCTACAAAAAGTGCAGAAATTATGTAAGAACAGCAGACCAAACGTCAGAAGAATTCAAGACTGCCAGCGGTGTTAGACAAGGTGATATTCTCTCACCTTACCTCTTCATTCTTATGATGGATGATGTCATCAAGACCTGTAAGGAGAAGACAAAGAAGTACTCTGTAGGGTACTGGAAGATGAAAGTACTCTGTAGGGTACTGGAAGATGAGACCAATCTGTATATCAGAGCTGGTTTTTGCAGACGATGTGGCCCTGATAGCTAAATCAGAGGCACACCTTCAGTCCAACTTACTTGTCTGGAAGGAAGAGCTAAAGAAAGGGATGACCATCAGTGTCTCCAAAACTAAAACCATGGTGATCTCAAGAGAGGAGAAGAAACACCAGATCATGATGGGACAGTATGCGTTGGAGCAGGTTAACCAGTTCAAATACCTTGGAGTTGTATTAGACCAAAATGGAGGCATTAAGACTGAGCTGGCTACACGAAAAGCAGCTGCTGGGAGACTCTTCCAGGCCATAAACCGAGGGTTTCTTAGCAAAAGAGAAATTGGCAAGAGGACGAAAATGGCTGTTTACCGCTCTACCTATGTACCAGTCCTGACCTATGGGTGTGAGTCATGGGCAATGACAACAGCTTACAGAAGCCAGCTGCAGGCCTCGGAAATGAGATACCTGAGAAAGGTGGTCCAAGTGACAAGAAGGGACAAAGTCCGCAATCAGACAATACGATCTTGATACCCAGCCCTTACTAACCCGAGTAGATCAGTCACAGTTACGATGGTTTGGACATGCATGCAGAATGGGAGAAAATCGGCCACCATGGCAAGCATGGGAGGCTAAGAACCAGGGAACCAGACCTCCAGGACGACCCAGGGTGCGCTGGGAAGACAACATCCGACAGTCCCTAACTGACAGAGGACTGGAATGGAACAAAGCCAGAAAGAAAACTGCTGATAGAGACGTCTGGCGATCTCTCTGGCAAACCTCTACACCCCAAGGTAGAAGAGGAGCGACTAAGTAAGTAAGTAAGGAACGTATGTCGAGTTGTCTGGTACTGAAAGAGTCAAAGACTCCCCGTGCGGGTTCTAGGGCCCAGTTGTGGGGAAAGCATGAAAAGACCTACTGCTTTCCCAACAAGCATGTCACAGGAGTCGACTAACTCGGGGCATCTTTCGAAGTCAAGAGTATCTCTGCCACAGAGGCAAGGAACCAAATGTTTTGCACACCAATAAGCCAGATCTGTGAAATGGATGTGCACGTAACAATCATGTTCTGGAACAAGACGAAAGTCCGAAGGTGGACGAACACCTAGAACTTTCCGCGACAGTTTACAGTCCGTGAATGTGAAGAAGAAGGGGCTGAAAGGTATTCCCATGATAGAAATGGAATATATATCATTATCATCATGTAGCAGGTCCTTTGCAAAACGTCGCTCTCATCACGGTCTCTCTCACGAGCTCTCCCGCCTCATGTACTTCCATACTCAAGGAGTCACTTATACCCTGTGCCCATCTTTGTGTCGGTCGGCCCCTACCCCTCCTTCCTGGCACCATGCCTTCTGCTATAATTTTTTTTTTCAATCCTTCGTGACGCTGGATATGACCAAAATATTTCAGCTTCTGAGACATGATGCTGTTTATTAGCCAATCTTCCTTCATGTTCAGATCTTTCAAGATTTAAGTATTTGTGCTCTTCTTTGTCCAAGATATTCTGAGAATCTTTCTATAGCAATTCAGGTCAAAAGTCCCTATTCTCTTTCTTAAGGACTGGGAGATAGTCCACTACGGAATATATATAAGGTCACAGAAATATGAGTTTAGTTAGGCGTGTGATTTCCTTATTAAACGTCTGCACGTCTCATTACATGCTAGTAAGTGATACCTCTAGCCTTAATCCTAGCAAATTAATCAGAGAAGCTGCAATAGTCCGGTGATAGTATGTTGCTGCTTGACCCGGTAGTCAGAGGTTCTTTTTCTTCCTAGCGTTTACCAGCTTTAATCTCTGATGGAAAGTTCAGGTTGTTTATCCACATCTAGAATTTAGTTTTGTCCCAGAACCTGAATTTTTCGTGCACATCCTATGTAAAAATCTGGCTTTCTGGTATGAAGACTACTGGTTCCTTGCCAGTTCTGACAAATGCATTCTGATTTTGGAAGAAAAATCCAAAATTAGTCACCTTATACGAGATACCTGTTAGGGAGGGCAGTAGGTTTATCACCCCCCCCCCCTTTCCGCCCCTCCCAAACAGAAATGTGCCCACAGGAGGGGTCACAGGTTTACAGTTCCATCAAGGCAGATTTTTTAAAATGACCACCCTAAAACGCAAGACAGGAAAGTGTCCAGGCAATAAAGGTAAACCAGTGTGGTGTCAGCCACATCACCACCGAGTGTTGACCGGTATGGAGCTACCAAAACGTACACAATTTGTATCAGGCCAGAAATGAGTCCTTTACCTCATATTTTTTTCCTGAAAAATTAAACGTGACAAACAGTTTTGCAGTAAAACCTTGTCTCGCCATAGGAATCGCCAGTGACTAAAAAATCAAGAGTTCGTGTAAAAAAAAAATGCTAGCTGGGGACTTCTTCCTCTCTAATCATGATCTACAATCTACATTCCTTGGTCATGTGATGAGAAGGAGAAAACTGGAGTACATCGTGACGATAGAAAAGTTGGAGGGATGGAGAGGCAGGGGAAGACTGAGAGAACAGATGATAATTTGACATCATGGCATGAAAGATCATCTGTGTCAAGAGTTGACTGAAAGTACACAAGACAGAGGATTGTGGATGGACATGACTGCCAATGCCACACGGCATGGACTCCAAGAAGAAGAAGAAATCATGATCTGCCTTTCAGCGTTAGATTTTGATGAGACATCATTTGAGAGCCTAGGTATGAGCTATGTAGGTGCTCATATTTATGGCCTTGGCTATTCCGTCTATCTGTTGCTTGTGGGTCGACCTCCATTATGTCTTAAGTGATAGGGCTTTCTGTGGTGCACCAGGAACTAATACATATATTATGAATAATACCTTCCTGCTGGGACCAAAACTATATTCATGTTAATAGTGTTCATCTTAAACAGATTTGTACTGGCGAGGGTTTATTGTGTAAACCAAGATATTTCTATTCACAATTTTGTTATTGCAATCAACTTCACTAAGAATGTATTGGATTCAAAATTACAAAGAATACTATTTCTAAAACATTCAAAATTCATTTGTTAAAAGAAATTCTGTTTTATGTTTAAATATATATATATATGTTTATCTCTTTTACATATAAATCATAAATACCTTAACAAAACTAAAAATCATTATGTTCACATCTTAATACATTTATGTATATATATATATGACACTAGATTTTCTTGTCTCCATTATCTGACTTCCCCCGAGATCTTCGCCGGGAACCAGGCATCCAGTCTGTATCCGTATTGTCATTGTCTACATTTTCATCGTCTGTTTCTGAATGTTCGACATCATTCATTGGAATAATGGGTGAGCGTTGATGGAGCTGCCGCCGAGGTCGCTTATCTATATCCAACTGATCTTCTAACCTAATTCTCTTAAGAGAGCCTGGCTCAGACTGACCATCATTCAAGGGCTGAAAACTAACTACCCCGGTTGCAGGTGCAACATTTTCATGAATCTCCTTCATATGAGGAATCTCTCCTTCTTCCTCCTCATAATCAAGTTCGTCATCAGTGTCTGGATTCTGTATCACAAATGGTTTTGATGCTGCCGGAGGCTGCAATCTGCTGTCTACATCACTCCCTGGAGCTGGCAGCGCCTCCTGCTGGAAAACAGCTTCTCCTTCTCCTAGATGTATTTTCCTTGGAATTGACTTCCTCCCCTTTCTGCCAGTTTTGCCATCAGCACCTTCGGTTCCAGAACCGGGGCTCAAGCTGTCAGTGTCGCCATCTGCGGTGTGATCATCCCTAACCCTCTCTGACAAGGAACTCAAGAAATTCACTGCATCTTCTTCCATCACATCCGTCGTTTCATTTAAGCCGTGCTTGACTTTCTTGTGACGGTTCAGATTTCCTTTAGAAAAGACAGACAGAAATACTATTCAAAACAATGTTTTCCTGTAGTGAAATGTCAATAATCCGGGCACAAACAATGTTTTCCTGTAGTGAAATGTCAATAATCCGGGCACAAACAATGTTTTCCTGTAGTGAAATGTCAATAATGTGGACACAATGTTTTTGTGTAGTGAAATGTCAATAATGCGGACACAAACAATACATAACACAACTGAAAGCCGGCCATATTTCGCTGTATCTCATCGGATGCATTACTATGGTCAAGCAATAAAACGTTTCAAGGCTAAATGCAGGATAACCTGCATTGAGTTTGTGCAAGCAAGTGTGGTAGGTAGAGGGGATAATGTGTGCGTGCATGTATAGAACCCTCTCTACCTACCACACTATATATATTTGATTTACTCACTACAGAAGTACTCGTTCGCTATCAGGGGATACCAAATCTTCCGACAGCAGGCTAAATCGTCCGAAAGGAGGAGTCTTGACTGCTGTCAAGAACACGATCACAGCTTGGGAAACCCAGAGATCTCAGTGTGGGGATACAGAGTTTATCACAGTCACTATCAAGGGTGCAAGGGGAGATGTGACAGTATGCAACATCTACTCACCACCGAACAGAAATATTAATCTGGGAACCATCCAACCAAACACAGAAAACTGGATTGCTATCGGAGATCTAAATAGCCACTCACCTAGCTGGGGCTACACAGACCTCAATGCGAAAGGAGAAGAGGTAGAAAACTGGATAATCAGCAACACTCTAGTTCTGATAAATCATCGTGACGACCCAGACACATTCTACTCTCGAGCTTGGAGGAAAACTAGCACCCCAGACTTGACTATAGCAACTGAAGATGTGGAGAAAGTTACCAGCAGGGATGTATGTCAGCAGCTGTGTGGCAGTGATCACAGGCCCGTAATCCTGTCTATTAACAAAAGTAGAGAGGTTACTAAGGAAAAGAACCCTCCTAGCTGGAACTACAAGAAGGCTAACTGGAGCCTTTTCACTTCCCAGCTGGACGAGTCTTCTTTAGAAGACTAGAAATAAATGCCAAACTGAAGATCCTCAACACAACTATTCTAAATGCAGCCAAGGGTAACATACCACGAGGCAGCAGGAAAAACTTTCAACCTTACTGGTCGCCTGAACTGGACACACTGCATTCCAAACTTAGTACCAGGAGGGAAAATATGGAGAAGGATCCGACAGATACAAATGTAATACTTCATAACAAAGCAAAAGCAGCCTTTATCAAAGAGAGAAATAATCAGATTAGGAAAAGCTGGCACAAAAAGACAGCGTCATTTAACCTCGAGAAGGACACTTCACATCTGTGGAATCTCACAAAAAGTCTGAATGGAGACAAGACAGAAAAAGCCAGAGTTGTACTCCAAACAGACGATAGAACTGTTACTGGCAAGGTAGCAGCAGATGTGCTAGCTGAAACACACCAGAAGGAAACTGAGGTTCAAATTTCCATGCAAAGAATAAAAGAAGTACAAAACCAGACCAAGACTCTTCTAGCAGACTTTAGCACAAAAACAACCAAGGCCTGCATGTCAGAAAAGTTTACTATGCAAGAGCTAGAAGTTGGAATTGGAGAGTTGAAAATGAAGAAAGCCCCAGGGGCTGACGGCATTACAAACGAATTTCTCTCTCATCTTGGACCTGCTGCCAAGAAGTTTCTCCTCTGCATTTACAACCAGAACTGGCAAAAAGGTGTAGTACCGTCAGCCTGGAAGGAAGCTCTCATCCAGCCTATCCTTTAAAAGGGTGGAGACAGAAGAGACCCAAAAAGCTACAGACCCGTCAGCCTTCTTAGTTGTGTAGGAAAATTTATGGAGAAATTAGTAAATAAAAGACTAATGTAGTTCTTGGAGACAAACTCGGTAATCACCACCACGCAGACAGGATACAGACAGCACAGAAACACAGAGGACCAGTTGACATATCTGACACAGGAAATATAGAATGCCTTCCAGGAAAAAAGAAAGTTCTAGCTGTCTTCTTTGACCTCTCTCGTGCTTTCGATACAGTTTGGAAAGAAGGCCTACAACTATAACTGCTACAGGCAGAAGTTGTGCACAACATGTACAAGTGGATCAAAGACTTTCTTTTCCAACACAGAGCCAGATTCAGAATTGATGGACACATCGGCAAACTGGCAAAACTAAGAAAAGGAGTTCCCCACGGCAGTGAGATAGCACCAACTCTGTTCCTGGTTTACATAAATGATATCACAGCAACCTGCCACCAGCACGTTTATAATACCCTGCATGCTGATGACTTTGCAGTTTGGACAGCCTCTTAATACACTACCACAGCCTCATATCTGTTACAGAAAACTGTGGAAAATGTAGAAGCCTGGACCAAAAAGTGGGGTCTAAAGCTAAATAATTCAAAAAGCACAGCATCACTTTTCTCTCTCTCCCCCAAAAAAGAAAAAATCGAAATTTGGATAAAAAACCAGCTCATTCCACAGACTGACACACCTACCTTTCTTGGCGTTAGACTTGATTCGCGACTAACTTGGAAGTCACATGTAGAAGCAGTACAGAAAAAAGTATTCAAGAAGCTTGCAGTGATGAAAAAATTAGCGGGTACCACATGGGGTGCTAACTCCAGAATTTTAAAACAAGTATATACTGGAGCAGTCAGGCCAGTCATGGAATTTGCCTCCGCTGCATGGGCTGCAGCAGCCAAGACAACAATGGGAAAACTGGACAAGGTTCAGAATATGGGATTAAGGATTGATCTCGGAGCCATGAAAACCACCCCCATCAGAGAGATAGAGAGAATAGCAGATACTGAACCACTCGAACTCAGAAGACAATACAAAATTCTTTTACAGTATGAGAAATTAAAAAGACTTCAAAGTCACCCACTGCATTTTAAATTTCAAGAGAGAACAAAAAAACAGACTGAAGCGTCAGAGCCCCAACCACCTTGCTAGAGAACTGTACAGACAGCACCAAGATCTGCTTGAAAGAGATCTTGCACTGTGCGAAAAACTTAGGCCAGAACCATGGACAAGCAAGCCAGAGAAGGCAAATGTAGTCCTAAAGGTACCAGGGATCACTTCAAAAGATGCCCAGACGGAGACACAACAGAGAACCCTGGCTCTTGCTATGCTTGATGAGAAGTATCCAAACACCACTTGGACTCAGGTTTTCACCGACGGCTCTGCTACAGATGCAGTCAGAAAGGGAGGTTGTGGAATTTACATTAAACCCCCTAGCAGTAGAGCAGAAACTATGTCTCTACCAGCAGGTGACATCTGCACTAACTTCAGAGCTGAGGCAACTGCCCTCCTTTCTGCAGTCCAACATTTCATCACTCAAGAATACAGAGGGCACAAAATTGTTATACTTAGTGACTCATTGTCTGTTCTCCAAGCACTATTATCAAGCAAAAAACAAGACAAACTAATTGCAGATCTAAGGACCAACATTGGCTTACTCTCCAAGGAAGCAGAACTGGTCTTGCAGTGGATACCAGCCCACTGTGGTATTCAAGGAAATGAGAGAGCAGATGAGCTGGCAAAAGCTGGGAGTAATCTTCCACAACCTCATCAACCACACAGCTACAAGGAAACCAAAACAGCGCTAAAGCAGTCTTTTAAGCGGGAGTGGAGAAAGCAGAATGGAGATTACAGACCAGAGAGTGACAGCATAAACAAACTCAACAGGAAAGAACAAACATCAATTTTTAGACTTCGGACAGGACACTGTGGTCTTCGAGCACACCTGTACAGGATAGGCATAAAAGAATCTGCTGCCTGTGATTGTGGAGCAGAAAGACAGACCCCTGAGCACATACTGTAGTATTACCCTAACCTCTCCCAGCAAAGACTGTGGATCTGGCCCAAGGGAGCCACATTGCAAGAGAAGCTATGGGGGACCGGTGGCGACCTTAAACGCACAGTCCTATTTGTGACCCAGACGGGACTCAATATTTAGCATGACTGATGTCGAACGCAGAAGAAGAAGGAGAAGTACTCAGCCAGTATGTAATTTACTTCTAATATATTATGTCCCTAAACTAGTAACCGTTTACGGCTGCATTTTCCACATCATGGTTCAACTATTCACAAACCACTCTTCTATGTGACTAACCATCATCAAGTATCTTGTCAACTGGTGTGGGCGATCATGCCTCTCCACAATGTGGGATCTGCCACTGCTTGTATCAGTTTATTTGATGACACGCCTCCACGCCATGATAAAAGGCTGTTTTTCTTTGTCTCCTTTTCCAAAGATCTTTCCAGTGGTCACAACATGCTCCAATTTCCTTCTTTTCATAAAATGACCACAAATTATAACTGTCTCTTTCTGATGTTAGTGATAAGTTGTTCTCAAGAGTCCTTGGCTCTTCCAAAACATCTGGGTTGCTCTTTCTGGCTAACCAAGAAATTCTAAGGATTCTTCTATAAAACTATTTTTCTGAGGCCTCAAGAAATTGTTTGGCTTGTTTACTAATTGTCCAGGATTCACAGACATCTGTTAAAAAACTGGCTCTATAAAGCATGCAAGATTTGAACAAAACTCAGTGCAATTAATATAGTTGATCAATTTGGTCTAATTTTTAATGCAGTATATAAAAGATATTACCTTTAGTATGGTTTATGTATGTGATTACTTTTTACTACAGTTTATAAATATGATTTACTTTGATTTTTAATATAATTTAGATATAAATATTACCTTTTTATAATACAGTTTATAAATATGCTTACCTTTTAATGTAAATGTACTGCCACAGAAACACACATATGGTTTTGAGTTTGTATGCATATGCATATGTCCTTGGAGGTTATGATAGCGCCCAAATTCCTTTCCTGAGAAAAAGATAAAAACTCTGTCAGCTTATTCAGTCCGAAGACGATCACGAAGTGTTTATTAATGAACTGTTTACAAAATTTATCCCCATAATCTTGTTGCATTAGTGACTGCTTCAATCACGCTTTTTCTGAGTTTTAAAAAGAATATAATGTTAGCTTTTTGCTCCGTGCTGATTTCGTAATAATGCACCTCTGACTGCGTCAACGGCTTGTGTGTTGTCTGCTTATCAATCGGTGATTAAGAGTTTTCAGATCATAGATGAATGCTGCCTCTTTAGATTCCATGCTTTGCTTCATAGATGGCCTTTTTGTCTTGGCAATAATAAAATCAGTCTCATTACTTAATTGTCGGACCATGTATATGAGTTTAGCCTCATATACCTGATGCCCCACTGGTGTGTAAAAAAGTACCTTTACTAATAAAACAAATCATTGGAAGGACAGAAACCAGGTCGACCACTGGCTTGCCAGTAAATGACTTTGTGGCTGGTCGGGACAGTCTCCTGTCATTGCACCAACACTGTAAGAGTCCTTTTCAGAACTACTTAGTGGCGTGCAATGCTAAGCCATTTTATATGGCACACAAAACCTTCGGGATGCTGGTTGAACATGACGATTTTTTCAATTTTTTTCCGCAGGCAAGCCAAAGCAAGGAAGCACAGAAACCTGCGACTGTTTTAAGATACATGTTCATTGTTCATTCAAATGAAAAATGAACATGTAAACTACAATGACGGGCTATGCAGTCATAATAACAAATAAATATAGCTATATTTTGAAAACTAACAAATTACATCACCATCATGTGCCTTGCAGAGTGGCGTACGTGACCATGCTTCTCCTCACTTAACGTTTCTTAACAGCGTGTTTTAAATTCATATGCTGACACCTTTCCATTTTTGGTGTGTCTTTCTCTAATTCCATAATCCCCCCCCCCCCCCCTCCCCAATAATCTTTTTATAATGAGACCAAACAATTATGCTTGCCTTATTCTGATGTTTATGATAAGCGGTCTGTATATTTTAATTTGTTTCCAAACCCACAGTCAGTCTCCTGCATGTCTAAGGAAATTAGGACAAATCTACACAAACTTTCAATCTGAGAAACATTAGACAAAACTGAGGGGATACGTCTGGTAGCTGCAGACATTAAAATCAAACATTTCATGTGATATTATAACTAGTGATTATCATCACTTATAACTGTTACTGATAAGTTATATGGTTTGGACATGTATGCAGAACTGGTGAGAATCAACCACCGAGGGAGGCCAAGAAGTAAGAAACCAGACCACCAGGATGACCCAGGATTCGAAGACAACATCTGACAGTCCCCGAGTGACAGAGGACTAGAATTGAACAAAGCCAAAAAAGAAAACTGCAGACAAAGAAGTCTGGCAATGTCTCTGGCAAACCTCTATACCCCAAGGTAGAAGAGGATCGATTGTCAGTAAGTAAGATTATCATCACATGCCAGTGCAGACGATACTGTGCCATAACAGCCACTTATCTTGTGTGCTGTTAACAAGATGTACCTCTTATATCCCAAAATATGTTAAGCAAAGACTTATTCTAAACAGTACCTAACTCATCTGTTTAAACCTTTATTGAGTTGGCATAACCTCTTATAAAAACTAGTGCATACTGAGTTGCACCTGTGGAGAATGGAGAAAAGAGAGGAGAGAAAGGGGGGAAGAGAAGCAACAATGAAATTCATAAGGACCCTCTTTCACACCTTCAAGCAGACTGGCCATATAGGGTTAGATCTATATTTTTTTATAGACCAATCAACACTCAGTAGGTGATATGGTCAACATCACGCCAGCCACCTTTACTTCCAAGGACTGTACCTGGTACCCAATTAAGGCTGGGTAGAACTGGTAGCCAATGTCATTTTTGAAAGAAACAAAAAAGTCCAGCTCCATCAGGTCCTGAACCCATGATCTTCTAATCTGCAGGCGAGCATCTAGCCGTGACACCACAACGGCTCCCAATGACATTCATAATCTATTTAAAACCCCACTATTCAATGGCATCAAGACTGCAATGGTTGTGGCATGTAAAGAAAACTGCAGATACAGGAGACACAAACTGCTTTCACAAAAGAGTAAAATAGTCATAGACTATGAGGCACACCAAGAATTTGATGGAGAGATCATATACATTGAGATCTACAAACACTTTATATCGCTAACTGGAAAGAGATGGCCAATATCACAGTGGTTAAGGAGACAAGTGATATCTGCAGCAAAGAACCTCAAGGGCTGAATGCTGAATGATGAAGAAGAAGAAGAATGCTGAGTTTTCATAAGTTTTTTTTTTCCAAATACAAAATTGCAGTCGAGTGACCTACCACAAATACTACACTCAAAAGGCTTGCGATCAGCATGGACGACTTGATGAGCTTTGAGAGTCTGGGGCTGTGTGAACATCTTGTCACAAATGTTACACTTGAAGGTGCGTGTTGTGTCATGTATCAGCTTATGGCGCTGCAGGTTGGCTCGCTGATTGAAGGACCTCCCACACAGGTCACAAGTGTATGGCTTCAGTCCAGTGTGGGTAAACTGATGGGCTTTCAAATGGTGCTCCTGAAAATTATCAAAGAAAAGAAAATACAATAATATGACACCAAAGAAACTAATTCACAACAGTAATGCATTTTAAGCAAGAAATATAATATCAAACTCTACAACAGTATTATGTGTCTATGGGTGGGGCAGCTAGAAGAGCAAGAAGCAGAACCTTATATCTCCCTCGACATCTGAAGCAGTAAAAGAGAAATGAAGAAGAATGTGTTACAAAAAAGGTAGCGGTTCAGGTTTAAGGTTCAGAAGTGGTGGGATTTCCTCTAACTCGTACAGTTCTGGAGGGCAACCCAATCTTCAAAATCAGAGCAACAGAACATTTCCAGAATTTTCTGTGAAGGAAAATGACTACTCCCACTTCAGGTCATGGCCTAGACTATGTGACAGTCCTAACACTTCATAAGAAAATCTACATTCTTTAGTCATATCATACGAGAAGGAGAAAACTGCAGTACATCATGACAGTGAGAAAGCTGGAGGGGGAAAGAGGGAGACCAAGAGAGATGATGCTGGATAGTCTGACATAATGGGATGGAAGACCACCTGTGTCAAAACTAACTGAAAGTACACCAGACAGAAGGTTGTGGATAGACATTACTACCAAAGCCATGTGGCATGGGCTGTAAGAAGAACACATCACACCTTAATGCCATTGTCTGCTATGGAACTACCTTACCTATGAACTGTATAATGATGAGACCATAAATTGACATTGAGTATGTTCTATGTTACAAATTATTTCCCCTTTTTAGTAGCACTGCTATAAAAATAATAATAACAATAGACATGCTTGTTTGTGCAGTGTCCTTACTCAGAGGACTGAAGGTTACAGTAGGCTAGTGTTGGCGTTAGTAGTGCCCCAGTTATAATAAGTCTGGAGGTTGAACAGGTGTACCTGAGATTTACCCAGACTGAGATTTTGTCATCTCAGTGGTCCAACCTTCAGGTAGCAGCACAGAAGTGAACAAAATTGAATGAAGGAAGGAATGCTTGTTTATTTGGGTAAGATAACAAATTATAACAAGATAAAGGAACTGGCCTGCCAACACAATGCCACGACTGGAAATATGTGAATTCCCATGGAGTTCCGGGGTCTATTTTGGAGAAAAAAAAAGAATAGACCCACTGCTCCAATTACAAGTATGTTGTAGATGGCAACTAATTAGAGGTGTTTTCTTTAAAGTCAGAGGGTATTCATCTGAGACAAAAGAAACCAACAGTCTGCATTAAAAAAAAGTCAGGTCTGTAAAACGGATGTGCAGGCTAAATTCAAGTTCTGGATCAAAACAAAGTCCAGAAGGAGCCAAAAAAAAAACCAGCATTTTTACTGGAGAACGCTAAGAAAAAGAAGATGATGATGAAGAAGAAGAAATATGTGAAGATCTAAACGTTTGCATCCCAAGGGGAGTTTCTGTCATGCTACTTTACCTTTAGCTCTAAAGGGAGCATGACAAAATCTGCAACATTCCAACTTTCAGATTAAAGAAATACTTTCTGATAATAATTAAAATCTTTCTTTGCTTTAAAGAAAAACATTAAAATATTCTGGTATACATTTTTAGTTTAAGAAGTTGAAAGAGAAAATCGTGATTAACACAGCTGACAACAGAGAGCATGTGGATGAAAAGTCAGAATGTCTTCCTAGCATTCTGAGACGGATGTGTTCTTGTCTTCAATAAGGCTCTAGGCTGTTTTGTATCAGAGGTGAAATTAAGCAATCTGCTGATGGTCAGCCAGATCCCTGGCCACTCCTTGCCACACCATTCTCCTCAAACCGTAAAGATCCATCTGTGCCTCCACACTGTTCACTCACTCCCAAAGGGTCCTTTCAAGATCTAGCTTGTCATGCATCAATTTACCATCACGTTGTGCAGAACCAGCCAGTCTATCTGCCTGTTCATTTCCAAACAAACCGGCATTCTCTGGAGAAAATATCCAAAGGACACCAACTACCTGCGACCTCTGAAGCGATGCTTGTCATTTTGTGCGGAGCATATCGGTCTCCACCTATCTCAACATGCTCTGTGAGTCGGTTACAATTATGACATGTGCGTACAGCTGATTCTCAAGCCAGCAGAAAGCTGCAGTGACTGTTTCCTCCTTCATCCTCAAAGGCTGATGTAGCCTCAATTATAAGTTCTTTGGGGGCTGAATGGGGTATCAAGGATTTGCCCAGTGAACTACCAGCTAGATTAGGTGTCTAAATAATCAGGTAGCAGAGTGGAGGGGACAAATTAATATGGATAACATTAGATGAAAATCAACCAAGATTAAGACAGGATACATGATATTAGCTAGACAGGGAAAGGATATAAACTCCAGCCACATGCAAGTCGATAATATGAAAATCAAATAAACGGAAACATATAAGTACTTGGGTGCAAACTTCAACTGCTTCAACATGGTGAGAGAAGAAATACAATCTAGAATACAGTCTAGAAATAAAGTATACTATGCCCTTCAACATCTGCTAAAGTCAAAGTGTATGTCTCGCAACACCAAGATCAAAATATATTAAATGATAAGACCAGTTGTTTTATTTGGCTCTGAAACTTGGAGCACAACTAAAAAAGATGAAGCCCTATTATAGGTTTTCAAAAACAGAGTCTTATGATGAATCTTTGGACCCATTAAAAATGCAAACAGCAGGGAATGGAGAGTGAGAAGCAACAATGAAATTCATAATCTGTTTAAAACAAAATTAATCACTGGCATCACGAGAGCTAATAAACTGAAATGGTTGGGGCATAATGAAAGAATGTCAGATGACAGAGAAGTAAAAAAAACTGTATACACAAGGGAGATGAATGGTCGTAGACCACGAGGCAGACCAAGATGACGACGGAGAGATGTCCAGATAGACCTATAAACATGTGGTTTCACCAGCCAGAAAGAGAAGGCTGACCAAAGAAATTAATGGAGGCAGGTGATATCTGCAGCAAATGAACCTCAAGGGCTTGGAATGCTGAAGAAGAAGAAGAACAGTAGATAGAAAAATATATAACAGTGAAGGCCAAGCACAAACTGCTTTTCAGAAGACAAAGGATATCTTATCTAGCTTGTAAGTCCCTTTCAATGAATGTCAGAACAAGTATAGAAATGTTAAACCTGTCCTAGTATATGGCTGTGAATTTTGGAATGTGAACAAAGAAGTACATAGACATAGTACAGATTTGGTTACTAATGTGAATTCTAACAGGAGCATGCTTTACAGATGCAAGAGAGGTTTATGTATGAAAGATGAATGTTTGGAAGAGTTGACTGAAGGACAGGATAGTGAGTCGATGTTATTTGCTACTATAGCTGAAGTCATTACATTCTGAACAATTTCCATAAAGGCCCAATCTTCTTTCTTAACACAAGTAAAGGTTTATAATCTCCTTAAGTACCAAACAGTTTAACTCCTTATATCCCAAGGAGTTTAGCTTAACAGCAATACAGAGTTAGGTCTGAAGGAGTTCAATATAGAAAGTATAGGACACAAGTGGTTATACAAATAATTCAGATAGAAGGGTTAATACAACATGTGTCTGTGACTGAAGACATGAACATTCTATTATCTTTGAAAACACCAAGAAATGTATTCGTTTTTACTTCTTCTTCTTCTCAGGACTTTTCTTCTTCTTTAAGTCCATGCCGTGTGGCATTGGTAGTCATGTCTATCCACAACCTTCTGTCTCCCTTCTGTCTCGTGTACTTTCAATCACCTCTGACACAGATGATCTTCCATGCCATGATGTCAAACTGCCCAGTGTCTGTTCTCTCGGTCTCCCTGTCTCTCCTTCCCTCCAACTTTCCTAGTCACAATGTACTCCAGTTTTGTCCTTCTCATCACATGACCAAAGAATGTATATTGTCTCTTTCTGATGAGGGCAATTAGTTCTCTTCGTGAGTCAGTTTCTTTCAAGACATCCTCATTGCTCTTTTTATCTGTCTATAATTCTTAGCGCTGTAAACTCCAGTGTAAAGTTGTTTGTCCACTTCTGACCTTTGGTCTTGCCCCAGAACCGCTTATTTGTATGCAAACTGTTGGTTCTTCATCCGTCAGGCAAATGCACTCCAACTTTGAAAGAAACACCCCTAATTAGTCTACTTCTATGACATGCCCTTTGGGGCCCTGGAACCCACATGGGCACAATAAGTTGTCTGGTACTGAAAGAGTTCATTATTATTATCTAACAGTGGAATGTTACAAATAATAGTTTCACTAGTTGTTCCCCAAATAATCATGCTGACGAGTTACTCATTTAGTAAAAGATTATTCTGGATGACACAAATGACAACATGAGTAATTACCAAGGGGGGGGAAAAATAACTAGTATGATGAGGCAGAAAGTAATGAAGAATTACTCAAATCAAATTTGAACCAAAACTTTATGATACACTAATTTTCCATTTAGCTTAATACTTTTATCCAAACATGATTTTTAATTCTGCACCTGTTCTTACAGGCTCTAATTAGTTTACAGAGACTGCAGGACTATTTTTGTGTTGATACCATCAAAGAAACTGAATGTAAATATCATGTTTACTTGTATCAATTCTATTTGAATGTGGTAACAACATGAAACTCCACAAAGCTAAGCCACATGTTTGCGCTCCTCAGATTATGACCTAGAGATATTTTAATTAAATAAATTTTACTACTCTAATTCTGACCTGTAGTTCTATCAAGTGAATTTTATTACTCGGATCCTGACTTAAGACTTCAAAATTTTACTACTATATAGATTATGTCTTAAAACTCTTTGAAGTGAGCTTCACTACTACTCAGATTCTGACCTCGGTTCTATGAAGTCAATTTTCTTACTCAGATTCTGACCTTTGTAAAAGTAAAGTGAAGGACCCTTTTCCAGGCCTTTCCACGGGGAGAAAGTAAATTTAAATACTCTAATTCTGATACAGAGCTCTATGATGTAAATACACTGATTCTGACCTAGAGTTTTATGAAGGCAATTTGAAAACTCTGATTCTGACCTAGAGTTTTATGATGCCAATTTAAATACTCTGATTCTGACACCAATTAAAATGCATACATAAAATACCTGGATTGTGACTTAGAATTTTAAGAAGCTAATTTAAATACTCTGATTCTGAAATAGAGTATATGATGTAAATACACTGATTCTGACCTAGAGTTTTAAGATGCCAATTTAAATACTCTGATTCTGATATAGAGTATATGATGTAAATACACTGATTCTGACCTAGAGTTTTATGATGCCAATTTAAATACTCTGATTCTGCCCTAGTTTTTTTTGTAAATGTAAGATACACTGATTTTGACCTAGAGTTGTATGATGCAAATGTAAAAACACTGATTCTGATCTAGAGTTTTATGATGTATGTTTAACTATTCTGATTATAACCTAGAGTTCTATGAAGTGAATTTCAAACTGTATTAACCTTCATAAAGTCCATGCCACACTCGGTACACATGTACGGCCTATAGCCATTGTGCGACTGCATGTGATCTTTAAGTTGGCTTGGATAACGGAATCTGCGCTCACAGTAGCGACAAAGCAGCCGGCCCTCAGCTTCATTTTTATCCACTTCTTTTGTGTCCTCCATTTCGTAATTCTCAGAAGTGCCGAAGATCCGGTTCTGATCTGGGTATCGTTTATTTGGAACAAGTAATGGCTGAAAAAAGAAACAACTTGCCTTGATGAATGTTACAATCAATGCTTGTTAACCCCTTTACTGTCTAGCCCGAGCCACACAAAACAAAAACTGGCCCAGCAGTACCAGATCTGTTAATGCCGGCAGTAATGAGTTAACTCGTCAACATTTCATGACTGCTGATTCAGCAAATTTGTTGTTTCCCCTCTTTGTACCCGCCAGTAATAAAGTTAACTTATTCTATCCCAAACACAGTGAGAGGTAAGAACAGAGGGTGGGGTTTTATTGCAAGGTGAATGGACACTGTTTGAAAACAGAGCCTCGCTTAAAACGTCACAACATCCAGTATGAAATGGAGGTGGAGGCAGTAACTGAAGCCTTCAAACGGCTTCAGAGCAGCACAGCCCCATATTTAATTGTAATAGACTCACAGAGCATGCTTCGGAAAATTTAAACTGGTATCCTATGCACAGGGTGGCTAGCATCACATAATAAAGTTCAGATCAGGAGTTTATCATGGATTCGCTGTCCAGGATATCCAGGTGTGTTGGTTAAAAAGCAGGCTGACAGACTGGTGCTGTCGATCCTTTAAGCGGTAACCTACTTTATGATAAAGTGGATATAGTAAAGATTCTCTGGAATCAAATGGACAGTGCAAGAGAAGAAACAGAATCCACTCATTCACTCTTTCCTAAGACATTTTATTTTCAAGAAATTAAAATACTAACACTGCAAGAGAGAAGAAACTAGATAAACAACGTAAGCTACAAAATGACAGCTTCCACCCTTCTAAGGTAAAATGATGAAGAAAAATTACAGAAGTTGGGGGGGGGGGGGGGGGTGGATTATATATAAATCATTACAGAACTATAGCGGAAAGATGCTTAGAAGATCAGAAGATTTTTACTCCAAAAAAAAAGATTTAAAATAAAACAACTAGTCAGATACTGATGCTGGTCAGCTAATTTTTTAATTAAACAAAAACATGGATCTGCCAATTTTTTTTTTTTTTTTGAGTTGAAAATGTGTATCTTTGATCAAGTTTAAAATGGTCTGATATGTAATGGAACTTTGTGCATGGAGACCCAAAGGATACAAAATTAACTTCTTTCCCTTCTCTGGAATCACCGGCCTCCAACTCTAGCAGAAAATACTGGTTGCTTATCCACATCTCAACTTTGGTCTTGTTCCAGAACTTGAGTTGTCCATGTACATACATTTTACAGATGTGGCTTATTTATATGCAGACTGCTGGTTCCTCACCTCACATGCTTTGAAGAAAGCACCTCTAATTAGTTGACTTTTATGACATGCTTGTTGGGGGGGGGGGGGGGGCAGTGGGGTTATTCTTTTTTTTTTTTTTTGTGCTTCCATAATAGGACACCGGAACCTATTCAGGGAAATTAATGACTTATCATTACTTATATTATAACCATATATCTCTTAATTTGGTTTTTCTGATTTGGTCCATGGGTCAATTCTTTTCCCCAAAAGATGCAGCCGGAACCCATACAGGGAATTTAATCACTTTTCATTTTTGGTATTATAACCATACATGTTTTAAAGCAGGCTTTCCTATTTGGTGGTTTATGGGTCTATTCTTTAATTATTTGTTATTCTGTCCCACAAGAGGCAGCCACACGTGGAATTTCATGACCTATTGTTATTGATATTATAACCATACATGTTTTAAAGCAGTTTTTCCTACTTGGCGGACCATGGACTCCAGGGGTCTGTGAACGTCATTTGCACACACACATACACACAAACCGGAACTTTAGCATGCAATTCTCTCTGCAATTTTAACATTCAGAAATTTTTAAGTTCTTCAGTGAGCATTTTTTTTTAAGTACAAAATTCCTGGCAGACATTTAAAAAAAAAAGGGGGGGGGGGGGGGTGGGGCGCTACTAACTTGGAACCACTGTGCTAGAGCAATCAAAACCAACATGCAGTGAATTTCAAACAGAATGCAAGAGGCTTACGTGATGCCTGCCTTTAGTAAACAAATTTTAAAATAAGTATTAAGTACAAGCAGCCTTAAAATCCTTTCAGACAGTAAAGGGGTTAATAATTTTTTTTAACAACATGAATGTCAAGTAACAATACAAATTATATCACGTACAAACTTAAGTAACATTAAACATTTACCATTTGAATAGCATTCAACTTGTAAAATAAATATGATTTTGTCATGACTAAAATTGAACTTAGATTTTCTTGCCAATTTCTTCTGCATCTGTCCTTAAAAGTGCATGTTGCATTGTGGTTTACAGCTAGGATGTGCTAGCTGTCTTTCTGCCCAACACATCAAATTTTAACAAAACCTTAATTAGTCATCTTTTATGACATCTGAACTTTTTCACCCTGGGAAACCACAAACCTGGCACTTCTGTTTGGGTCCATTTTCTTGTTTTTGTCGCTTGACTACTATGATGTGTTTATAAGACGCAAGTTAATATATCTGGCTGTTTTTGCACCTATGCAACATTTAGGTCAGGATATAAATACATTTACTAAAAATAGCATTTAAGGGAGTTTCCTCAAGAACTAAACAGCATTTATAAAGCCATGCTGATGAATTCAAATTGCCCCTGTAGCCTCAGTGTTAGAGGTCACAGGGTCAGGACACGAGTCACCAGTTGCAAATTGTTTCTTAGGCCTTGATGAATGTATTCCATTTCAATCTTCACTCTGTTCGTGTTTATTGATTCACTCATTCATTATCTGATTGTGCCATTGTGTCACACATGACTCACGGTCAATCCCTCCATTCCATTCTATTCTGTGCAAACAGCTCAATATAATAGATGGAATCCTGTCCAGCAGCTTTGGCCTCTCTCATCAACATTCGTCTCAGGGTTTCTTTTGGGCGTCCTTCCCTCCTAATCCCTTTATTTCCTATTTTAATGTTTACTGATTACTCCTTTTTGTATTTATACTTGGGAGTTTTTTTTTTTTATAAGGTGGGGGGGGGGGGGGGGGGTGGTGGGTGGTGCTTTTTTTTTATATACAGAAATTTTAAACAAATATATTCTGGTTTTTTTTTTTTTTTAAATAAAGAATCATTTCTGAAATTCCTATAGGTTCACAGCCTTTTTTTTTTTGTATGTTACTGGGACAAAATAGCAGCAGGTGTATTCCCCCCCCCCCCCCCCCCAACCACCCTCTCAAAAATAGAAATAAAAACATTGGGCCACATGAGCTCTTCCTACTTTGAAAGTAAAAAACAATTCACTGCAAAATAAACTATAGCTCAGTTTACAACTAATCAAGTGTTACAACATAGTAGGATGCATATATATGGCTAATCATTCATAATTATTGACTCACCATAGCTGATCCAAGTTGCGATGACGATAGGGAAGGGCCTATTGAGTGCTTTGACCTCAGGTTTGCGCAGTATCCATTTTTCTCACTAACTGCTGCATGTCGCTTGAGGTGGCTGATTTGAGTGAACCCTTTCCCACACAGGTTACAAGTGTGTGGCTTGATTTTGTCATGAGTCAGCATGTGGGTATTCAGGTGGCTCAGCTGCTTGAAGTACTTGCCACATTTGAGACACAGGTGGGGTTTGATTCCACTGTGGTCCAGAACATGCATCACCAGGTTGTGCTTTGTTGTGTACGACTTGTCGCATTCATTACACTGCCAGCGTTTGGCGCTGCCCACTTGCACATACTGGGTGTCATCGATGCGAACGCTCACCTCCATCCTCTCCTGCTCCAAGTCTCGGGCCTTGGCTTTCCTCTCCTCCAGCAGCTGCTCAAAATGTTCTGAGTTCGGCTCTTCACCGCTATCAATGTTCTCCTCACTGGTCTTTGAGTTCTGGTGCCTGTAAGGCAACCTAGGACTGTGGGCACTGTTCCCTGTAGCCATGATACCCTTCTGGTATGTGCTGACTGTTGGTTCTCCCCCCAGAGCAGCTGGTCTACTCACTATGCCCACAGTGACAATTGTTGCTTTGTTGGAAACACAGGTAGTCATTGTAGCTTTGCCTGCAGAGTCCAAAAAGCTGGGTGAGATTACAGTCTTCACTTTAGAATTTTTATTGTAGTCACGGAACTCACCTCCTTGCGATGGCAAAGGATCATAAGGGAATGTAATGCGTGGTGATCCTCGTGGTGTTCCGTGGCTGCCAGCATTGTGCGTTGGTCGTTGCCTCCTCCTGTTGTCATCATCATCAGAGAAATCATTATCAGACTCAGGTCTGTGCAGTTCAGACTTCGGAATCCTTATTTTCAATTCGCCTATGGACTCTTCATTAGTCTGTGTGCCTTTATTAAAAATCAGAGGCCTCTGTGTCTTACCAATAATAAAAAACTTAAATGGCCCGATGTGACGTCTTGGTATGTGCTGACTGTGGTCAAATACTTGTGTTTAAATTTGGGAAGAGTCATGGATTCGCCCGGATGCTGAGAAATGCCTCCATGGCCATAACTTCCATGACGGTCTGAATGCATACCTGCGGCCAGGTACTGTTGGTGGTTCATGACTTCTTCTTTGAATGACCTTGATGACACTGCAGATAAATGTTGGCCACCGCCATTGTGTGCTGCATGCTGTAGAACTGATGAGTGGGGAATGCTGCCGCTGTAATTGCTGCTGCTCATCCCTGGTGAGGTAGATCCAATGGAAGGCGACTTACTGTAAGTCTTTACCGAGACTTGATCTGTGTATGAGGATGAATCAAAATGAGCTTGAAGACCACGAGTGCCAGATGGCTGGAATGCATGTTGTTGGCCCGATATGCTGGAGTAAAGGGCCTGACTACTCTTGCTGAGATCAGCACTGCTGCCTCCACTACTGGAGACAATTGTGCTGAAACTAGGCAGTCGATCGGATATCATTCCAGAAGCGGATGAGGGCAGTGACATGGGATGGTGTGGATTCTGATCCGAGGCATAATCTGAGAAACGGCTTCTGAATGAACTCGATGGCAAGCTGGACATCGAGGACATACCTGCCTGCTGTGAATAGTTCATGTGGAATGGTGACATACCGTAAGTGCTGCCCCTCTGGTTCTGTGGGAAGACTGGACCCCCACCACCAAAACTCATCCCTGCTTGCATATCACTCTGAAGAGAGCCTGGAAAATCTACTGCTCCATAGTCATCACCTGCAAACTGGAATCCAGATGGAGGTAGATTGTCCATTGCAGTTTACCTGAGATCAGACTGTGAAATATAGAAAAACTTATTTAAAAGAAAGAAAGAAAGAAAGAAAGAAAGAAAGAAAGAAAGAAAGAAAGAAAGAAAGAAAGAAAGAAAGAAAGAAAGAAAGAAAGAAAGCATACTACCAATCCTATACACTTTAAATGCCCAATGAATCTTCAAACAAGTAATTATTATTCTTCTAAAATAAATGCAGAGATTTTATTGCCCTGATAAATACCATGACAAATGACTAAAATGATCAATAAACTGTGGCTGGACACATCAATATCCAGTCTCTCCCCCTTCATCCAACACCAGTAACTTTGAATCACTACTGCTAGGTGAGGGAGCTGCCGTGGTCTAGCGGCTAGACTCACCTGCGGATTGGAAGGTCGTGGGTTCGGATCCTGACGGGAGCCAAACTTTTTTTTTTTAAATGACCTTGGTTCCCTGGTCGACCCAGCTGTAAGTGGGTACCAGGTACAGTCCTGGAAAGTGAAGGTTGCCAGCGTGATGCTGACCACATCACCCATCAAGTGCTGTTTGGTCTATAAAATATAGGTCTAGCCCTATATACCCAAAATGCCTGAAGGAGTGGAAAAAGGGTCCTTAAGTACTGCCAGGTGAACAAGTAACATTCCTCAGGCTAAAGCAAGCAATCTGATACTCAGCTGTTACTAAAATGTTGCTTACGCAAAAATCAACCAAGGCAACAAACTTCATTGTTCTCTTTATTTGAAGAAATAGAAAGCCATTACAAGCTTCAGCAAACACACCAGCTAATGTCACCAACATAAGAGTCAAGACCTTCCATTAGCATACAGACTACAGCGAGCAGGAAACCAGCCAGTTAACTACCAGCAAGATAGAGCCAAGACTTCCCACAAGGACCACACTGCAATCTGCTAAAGGTTCAGATTATAATTTTTTTTTTGAATTTGTCATTCACCCCAACGGAGTTTGGCTGCAATAGATGTGTATGTCCCCTGCAATCTTTGGTAATATTATGTGGTGGGGTCCCAAATGCTTCCACAATGCGGCTCTCGTACTACTGTCGAAAAGCCATGAGTCGGCCATGGAAACTGAACCCTAGCAAATTTAAGATTGTGAAACGCAACCACTAATTTCTAAGCCACAGAGCTGTACCTAGCAGCATCTCCACAATGATGTTGGCTGCAATGGATGTGTAACAATCCACTTCTGTCTTTGGAAATATTACATGGTGAGACCATTGTCTAAAAGCCATAGCTATGGTTTTCAGATTTTAAGGATTACAATTTATTAAGGAAGACACTCATCATCATCTTCTACTTTTGCTAGCAAGCACCACGGGGAGGAACAGCTGGTGGTCCACTGCTCAACGGGTGGCACTGAATGCTGTTATTCTGAGTGAATGTACACATTTGTGTCATCAATCCATGTTTTGCTTGGGCTCCCTCTTGTATTTAAGCACAAAAGTATTTTGAATGTTAGAGTTTATATATTTATAAATACACAATATACAGGCAGCCAAAGAAGAATAGTCAACCAACAAAGAACTGGTGTTATAAGTCGCCAGATTTGGCCTGCAGCCCACCAGCTGAATAGCCGTGCTATAAAGCTAAGTGATTTCATGTATTCTTATTTGTCAGTGTATCACCATCCATTTGTGTTATATGCTGAGCCTCTCTAGCCACAACTACATCACAACTGTAGTAAAGTAAGTAAGTAAGTAAAGGTCCCTTTTCCACGCCTTTAGGCGTATTGAGAATATAGGGCTAGACCTATTTTTTATAGACCAATCGGCACTTGGTGGGTGATGTGGTCAGCATCACACCGGCCGCCTTCACTTCCCAGTACTGCACCTGGTACCCACTCAAGGTTGGGTCAACATGGGAATCAAATTAATTTTTTGAAAAAAAAAAGTCTGACTATGTCAGGACGCGAACCCACGACCTTCCGATCAGCAGATGGGCCTCTAGCCGCCAATGCTACGGCGACTCCCATCAACTGTAGTAATGTGAAGATTATTAGTGCTACTGTTCATTTGGATTTTTTGTGGTGTGTGCATGTGTGTGTGCGTATAAAATATAGATACCTAGTGTCTCCATGACTCTAACTTCTTCAGAAAATGTCCAGGAGAGAGATATACCTTGTGTCAAGTGTTGAACATAAAGGTGACTGCTGCAGTAGAACTGACATCACTAAGAGCTGAGCTAATGAGTTTATTCAAGTACCCACATCAATTCTGGGCCAATGGTGCCAGTATCATTCTGATTATATGTCTGTCTTGCCTTTCCTCTAAGCGGCGAGTACTGGCCAGACCCCCTCGTGTCACTCCCAGCTGCATAACTCTCACCAACTCAAGCAAAGTCCCTTTGCAATTCTATACAGCTCATCACATGTCTACCCATCTTGTGTAAATCAGCCTATACTCTTTTTTGTGTATGTGGCAGCCTTCCGGGGGTTCTCTTAATCGCTTTGGGCCTGAGGGCTCCAGTGCAAGTAAATTCTATCCATATTTTCAAGTTTTCTAAACGTATGTCCTATCCACAACCAGTCTTTTCCTCATCTTTCGATCCACCGGAACTGGTTTACTTCTCTCCCAAAACTCCACATCAGTGGAGTATCATACAACTGAATGTCCTCTATTCTGTACTGGCATTAGTTAACTCTTTCAGTCCCAGCAGGTATCACATATTTGTTACAGAGTGTAATAGCTGTTTAAATCTAAAGGGGTTGCCCGGCTCTCTAGCGAAGTTGGTTAAACCTGACTTTCGCGGAGGCCGCGTGACGAACTCCTTGTGGTCTGGGTTCACTCCCGGGGGTAGGCAGAAAAGCCACATTTCTCCCAGATTAACGGTACCTATAATGGAATCAAGGCCGAAGGGTTGCGATATCCATAGTACCGAGCCAAAGGGTTTACAACTCATGGTTTCTGGATACGTTAAAAAAAAATAAAAAAAATCTAAAGGGGTTAAAATAGCCACACTTAGGCACCAAAGGGCTTAAAGTAACACATGGGTCAACAAAGTTTATTAAAACAGCTATGTGAAGAATAAAGTGTTTAGAAAAGGCATTCTTATAAGGAAGGAGTAACCAGTAAATGCATGGTGAGTTGACCGGGATAAAATGAGCTAATAAATGTTTGAAGTTTATTTTTTTATGTTACGTATACTCAACCCTGCTGTATGGTGCAGAAAACTGGACAATAAACAGGCAACCAGAAAATCCAAATGAGTCTGAAAATTTGGTTATAAAGAAGAACAGGTCGTATTTCATGGAATCAAATACAAAGGTTATGGAAAGTGTGAATGAAAAGAGAATTACTGAAAGAAATAAAAAAGAGAGACAACTGAAATATTTTGGCCACATCAAGAGACATAATACCTTTTTTTTAAAAATTCTGGGGGGAATGTAAAAGTCGAGAGCAAGATATCAAGAGGCAGACAAGGATACAAGGGGGAGGACAACATCAAGAGATGAACGAACAACAGTCTGAGACTGCACAACCAACACAAGTCACAGAGCATGTAGGATATCCACTGCAGCCAACCTTCCCCTGAGGACAGCACCTGATTAAGTTTATTATTTATCCTTTAAGTGGCTCACCATGTTCCTGCTTCATACGGCCGCATGATCAGACATAGCGGCTGAGCATTCTAAGCTGCAATTTTTTCTGACTTATAGATTTCTTAGTTTTAGAAAAGTTCCTCTTGTCTATTAAATTCATGCTTTCAGATTGCTGCTATTTTATCTATGCTGACAGCGATAGCCAAATAGGGTTTCATCAAGACAGATGTTGTTTGCATGGTTTATTTAAAAAAGCTATCAATCATTCAGCCGGGTGCCACCTCCACAATGAAGGTCACATAAAATGGCTCTCCAACACCCTCAGTCACTCCCTGTTGTAGCTCTCAGAATGTTATTCGTCCTCCTTCTTCTGTTATCCTCCTACTTAATTTCACCGTTTATTTCTTTCTGGCCTACCACCAACTTTTCCTCTAGTATAGCTTTTATAACAGTGATAATTCTTTAAAACATTTCATTTCTCCTTTTGTTTTTAATTTCTTCTGACAACACTCTTTTAATTCTTCTTCTCCTTCTTCATATTCCCTGGCTGTTTACTCAAAGGAAAAGTTCTGGTTGCTCATCCACTTCAGGACTTTTAGTCTTGTTCCAGAACTTCAGTATTGGATGCCCATTCATTTTACAATTCTGGCTTATTTGTTAGCAGACTGTTGGTTCTTTGCCTCTCAGGCAGATGATGCACTCCGACTTGGAAGGTAACCCCTAATTAGTAAACTCTTACGACATGTTTGTAAGGGAGGGGGTGGGTCTGTTTTTTTCCTTTATAATGGGGCCTCAGAACCCATACTGCGGTCTACTTCTCAAAATTCTTATTTGATTGCTTCTATTTCCATGAACCATCATTATATCCATGGTCTCAGTTTGACTATAATGGCTTGCTCATTGTTTAAGTTAGTTTCTACACCATATGTTCTGTGAACATTAATATTTTTCTCATGTTTACAAATTTTGATGTGTGTTGATATGTACCAACAGAAAAAAGTAGAGAGATAGAAGGATATATGACAAACTTGGTTTCCCTTGCCTCAAAGTACTCTTTTGCCTGCAGCGAGGTGCTGTCATCCTTTGGAGTTGACTGGTTTGATCCGCAATAGGTAACAACAGCTGTCAACTGATATGTTGTCTAGTGTATTTATCTTCAACCGGTGATTATATCCCATCCAGGACCAATCGACAGTCCAAGGATATATCCTGTTGGACCAACCCAAAAAACTGTTGGCCTAAATCTAGCAGCTAAATGATTCTCGCACAACCTTACATTACTGCATAGTCAATGAGACGCTGTATGTGATGATTTGGTAGCAGAAGTACAAGCACTATTTTGTTTGTCTGTGGTCCGTGAAACAATTTGTCTTGTGCTGGTGGTCCATGGGTGTAAAATGGTGGAAGATCACACTGGTCTAGTTGTGTTATCCTAATATCTTTTTCTT